TTCTGTTTATGGTTTATTTACTTTGCCCCCTGTTGCGTGTCTGTGCCTTCTAGTCTCCTGCACTGTTTACATTTCTCTCACTATTTATAATTACAGCTCTGGCTGTGCATTTTCCTCATCTTTGTCTGTGGGCTTTGCCAGCCCCAGTCCTTACAGTGCACCTTCTGTTTGCTGCTGCTCTTGAGGAAACCTTCAGCCATCGTAAGCCCTAGATGGACATACACACACTCCTCCAGCTATAACTTTTGTTAAATACTTTATTTCATGCAAGCCTCCTTTTTGATAATTAAGGTAAGAGTAACAAAATGAGCTTACAGTATTTGCTTTCCGAATCATCAGAACTGAGTCCATGCTTTAACACCTAAAGAGAAGTGCCTTACTCGCTGAAACCAAAGGTTAATAACCAGTATTTCTAAAGTATAAAGATGTGCTTGGAGCAAGGAGAAGAATATTTTAGTGCCGATTTTATTGGTATGCTTTTGTTTGCTGATTGCATATGGTACCCATGAGAAGGCAAGTGTTGTCCTACTTGGGACAGCAACTCTGTCTTTTTATAGAAACTGTTCTTATCAAGTCACCAATTTGCCAAAACCAATGTTAATTTATTGGTCATCTTATCTGACCTATTAGAGCCTCTGACTGAGTTGATCACCCTCTCTGTTGAGAAACTTTTCCTCCCATATTTCCTGAGCACCACAATCTTATTTTTCTTCTACCTTTTTGATGCATTTTATACTTAAATTTTTTTTTTTTTGAGTTTACTTATTTATTTTGAGAGAGATAGAGACAGCGTGAGTGGGGAGGGGCAGAGAGGGAGATAGAAAATCCCAACCAGGCTCCATTCTGCTAGTGCAGAGCCAGATGCAAGACTTGAACTCATGAAACTAGGAGCTCATGACCTGAGCCAAAAACTAAGAGTCACACGTTCATCCACCTGAGCCATCCAGGTGCCCGGATGCCTTTTGACTTTATTTGCCCAGCCTTGAAAGCAAAACCTGCCATTGAAATGCCCCATCAGTTCCTGTATGTCACCTTTCCTTTCTGCTACTCCTAGATGGTTCTATGCAAGACCTTGATTTTTATGTACAGTTGCTGTGGTCATCTTTTTCTTGAACCTGGCTGTCCTATATCCAGTTTTCTTCTCCACTTTATTTCGATGCTCATCACTAAAATGTATTTCTAACCCAACTCCCCTGATGTGTCGTTCCAAGCCTCTTTCTCCCATCTTAATGAATGATTTATTTTCTACCTTAATAAATGATAATTCCATCCTTTGAATTGCCCAAGCTAAAAACCTTGGAGTTAATCTTGACTCTCATTTCAGATAGTGATTTTTATCTTTTCTCATAGCTATATCCCTACTACTGAGAAGTGCTGAGGGGGCACCAATAAATAGGCTTTGAGGGAATGAAATGGTTGAGCTAGTAAACAGAAAGTGAATTCTGCATTCTGATGCCCAAAGATAGAGGCTTTAGTTAAATTAGGATGTTTCCAGGAAGGCAGAAGCTCTGTTTTCTTACCCTCATCTACTTCATAGGGAGGTAGATTTTGTCACGCTATTAAACAATTAGAATGCTAAATACAAATTAATGAAAATCGTATATGCTACACTTTGGGAACATGAAACAGGATGGTGATTCTTTTATGATGAATATCACAATGCCATTATTTCCTTGAGCTTCTGTTAATATCCCCTGCTGACACAGGCTAGGTACCCAATAACTAAACATTTTTTTTTTTTTAATGTATTAATGATTCCTAATGTACATTTTAATCTCAGAATTTTAAAAGCAGGGTTTATTCTATTCTCCTCTGAAACCCATTTCTCATAGTGTAATACACTCTGGCTCCATCCACACTGTTGCAAATAGCAAGATTTCATTCTTTTTGTTGGCTGAGTAATATTCCATTGTATATGTATATACACACACCATATCTTCTTTATCCATTCATCAGTTGATGGACATTTGGACGCCATAGTTTTGCTGTTGTTGATGATGCTTCTATAAATATCAGATTGTGTGTGCCCCTTGAAATCTGTATTTTTGTGTCCTATTATGCTAAGTGAAATAAGAGAAAGACAAATACCATAGAATTTCATTCATTTGTGAACTTTAAGAAACAAAAGAGAAATATAGGGGAAGGGGAAAAAAATCGTAAGAGACTCTTAACTATTGAGAACAAACAGGGTTGATGGAGGTGGGTGGGGAATAGACAGCATGGGTGATGGGTACTAAGGAGGGCACTTGTTCAAATGAGCACTGGGTGTTAAATGTAAGTGATGAAACATTAAATTTTATGCCTGAAATCAATTTTACCATATATGATAACTAAATAGAATTTAACTAACACTTGAAATAGCACCCCCCCCCACCTCTTTCTTTCCTTGTACTTTATAGCTTTGTTAATGGTACCTCCTCTTGTCTAGTTGAAGAACAAAGGAGAGGGGCTCTCACGAATTCTTTTCTTCTACCCCATGTCCACCCAGCCATCAAATTCTGTCAGTTTTCATAGATTTCAAATGTTCAAGCTCTCATCATTGCTCACTAAAGTTACTTCTACAATAGTTTCTTAACTAGTATTATTACCTCTACTGTTGCCTCTCCTTTACATTCCTTGTAGTTTCTCCTATTTCCAGTTGAACCTGAACTTTCTGACTTGGCATACAAAGCTGTGCCTCATCTGGCCGGTGTCCTTGTCCAACCTCATCTCTAGTGACTCCTGGAGCCGCTCTCTCCTGAACCCTTTGTAATGCAACGGAAGGGCCCAGGGCCCAGGTTTTCTAACCGGTTAATTCCTTAGATGCTGAGAACATCTCATCTCAGTCCTTCACTTCATCAGGCTGCCTTCCTATTTATCTTTAACAGTCAATGCCGTTACCCAGCTGTCCTTGTTTTTATTTGGTTTCTACACATTCCCAGTATATATGGAACATATCTCTTCTACATAGTATATTTTTATCATTGATCTATTGTCTTCATGAGGACAGGCAGCATGATCCTGTTCACCTTCATAGTTCGTGAGCCTTTTCCACTGTCTGTAGGAATTGATTTCTATGACATAGATGCTATATTGGCCCCTGCTTCTGCCGGTATGCTATATTAGTTTGAAATTGATAAAACAAGTCTTTATGTCTGAGTATACATTTTTAAAAACCTAGAAGGAACTCTTTGGTCCTTACCTTGATTACAGAATTTTTTTTGTCTATAAGGAAACATTACATTTTGCTGTGTATTTGCATATTTTCCTAAGCCTGTGTTTACATGACATCAATTTAAGAGTGGTTATAGGTCATGATAATGGCAAATTACCATTAGAATTGGGAAGGGATTTTAGATAATGAACTTAAATTCATTATTTCAGCTTAAGTCAATTTTCTGTTTTTCCTTTTATAGAAAATTGCCCTTTAGGATACTTCCTGGAAAGAATGTGGATTATCCTTTTCCCTTCTTTCTCTACAATTTCATGCTGCTATTGTTCTACACATATTTACTTTACATTTAGATCCTATTTCCTGCTAATTTTTATGATGCTATTTTTGCTGCATTGAGCCCTTTATAATTTACATCTTTTCAGAAACCTCGTGATTAATACTAATTTATTTGCTCAAATATAGAGAAATATTATTTAAATGTTCTTTGAGATCTTTTAAAAGTCTATACTATTGCTGAAAAGGTATTTTTGTCGGTACTGGGTAATGACTGACAAGGAGGTGGAAAGAAAGTATTTTAAACCTTGTGACATGAACCAGTTACAGCTGAGTGAATGTGTACTGGAAAGGTAGCCTCTGTTTTTAAGTTTATTCTTTTTTTTATTCTAAGTATTTCCCTTTTCTCTATTTATCTTCTGGCACATTTCCTTCCTCCAGTTTAAATAGTCTTAAGTTTTGACAGTAGAGGCATGCTGGTCAGATTTTAGTATTTAGACATCAAATACAATAATTACGATATATTTCAACCAGCAGGACCTGAGACCCCTGGAGGTGTCTTAATCCAAAAGAGACATTTTAAATTCATATAAACCTTGCCTTAAGGGATGGAGAAAGGACAATTTAGGGAACAGCATGAGGTTAAACATATTGATCAGTAGGCCAGTCATTCTTGTTAAGACTCTGGTAGAGTGTAGACAGAAAAATAGCATCATCATCAACAACAAAGAGTTCTTCACTTCTCTAGAGACCATCTCTTTTGCTTCCAGTCTCTCTTGCTTCCATTATATGGATTTCAGATAATGAAAGATAGGTTTTAGCCAGGGATACAAAAAAAAAAAATGCATATCCAGTTTGAAATTTGGGGTGTTAAATAACTGGAAAGTATAGTGATTTTTACATTTTTAGCACTTAAGGTATATACTAAAGGATTTAATTAGCTATGTTATTTCTTTATGCCTTTGGAATAAACATGACCTATATAATTTTTTAATTCTTGCGAAAGTGTAAGAACCATTGCCTGGTTAATTCTAGTAATTAATTGTGCAGTGATAATAAGATAGTTTTTAGTTATAACAACCCCATTGACCAGATTCACGACACTTGCTGACCTTGAAGTGTTTGAAACTTTGGGTTTCTCTCCATGAATGGCAAGTTACTTTACTATGTCAGGTAAGTATTACCTATCCAACAGAGATCTATAATTTTTCTACTAGGACATTCAGTTTATGTTGTATGCACATATAGCATGGAGTGATTTTCTTGGATAAGAGCTGAACTTTTGGCTAGAGTGAAATTTTTATGGAACAGCTCCAATGCCTAATGTTTCTCTCTCCTCTCCCACAAAAAAAACCCCAAACAAATAAAAAAGAAGAAAACTCCACCGAAACTATATTTCTTATTGAATTTTAATTGACTAAAATAATTTACATACAAATTATTGTTCTAATAGACTCTCCTGGGAAGAAAGGTATTTAATGATTCTTGGAACAAAACCTTCATGTTTCAGTTGTATTCCTCTTTCTTTAATGTTGGAATCCAAGCTTAAGTCTCACCGTGCAATCTATTGTAGGTAGCATGTATGCAACTCATCAATGCCCTTGTTACATCTCCTGATGATTTGGACTTGAGGCTTCACATCAGAAATGAATTTATGCGTTGTGGATTGAAAGAGATATTGCCAGTAAGTGCCCTGCAGTCTCCTTATTAATATTTAAATTAGAGGAGTACTTGAATAGGGGGAAATTTAGATAAATTACCTTCAAGAATAATTTATCTGCGGGGGAAAAAGGCTTGAGTATAAAAATCTATTTTTGAAATATAGATAAGATTGGAGTATTAACACTTTAAGTGTTTGAATGCTGTAAATCAAGTCAAATGGTTGGTTTATTGTTTATATGTTTTTCATTAACCTTTTTGCATTATTAAAAATAAAACCATTAATTGTCATTTCTCTTTCATATCTCTAGAATTTAAAATGTCTGAAGAATGATGGCTTGGATATCCAACTTAAAGTCTTTGATGAGCATAAAGAAGAAGATTTGCTTGAGCTCTCCCATCGCCTTGAAGAGATTAGAGCTGAGCTTGAATATCCTTTTGTTCTGAAGTTACTGACCTATGTAAAATTGTTGCTAAACCCCAAACAAACAAACTTCACACCCCAAGATACTAAACTTCTGAAGCCATTTCTGTATAAACAGTATAAAGCCAAACCTTTATGAATCAGATTGATTTTCATATAAACTTTTCTTAATAGTTTCATGTGTGTTTTTCTGAGTCCATGCATATGGAAATGGACGTTCCAACCCACAAATTCCATGAGGCCTCTTGTGTATGTGTACAGTGTGTTGTTTATTCTTCTCATGTGTGGCACCTCCCCCTCCTCTAGTGCTCTCTAGCATTAGCCTATTGGCTCCTGTCCTACACCTTGGGTGCACACCCCCATGGGCCTTTGTTAACTCTGTGGGTCTGCAGATCTCTGTGCTTTTCCAGAAATCTACCAGGTTCCTGTCCTCCACTGGGGCTTCCCCATGGTGGATAATGCCTGGCACCATCTCTCTTGGTTAGGGCACTCTTTACACCTAATATGGTATTTCCAACCAGCTGCCTGTTACCCTTGCCACCCGAAACATCTTGGCTTGAGAGAGGCAAATGGTTGGAGTTGATTTTGGAGGAGAAGACAGTGCCAGGTGAAGTTACCATTTGCACACAGTTTTCCTCTACTTCAATCCTAACTACCTGTGTGGTACCATATGTTGAGTATACATGATGGTATGGGGTAAGACACACAATAATCTTTTGAAGCCTTACAGAACAGATTCTGTGCTGTGTTATTGGTTGTTTGGTGTAGAGAATAAATAAATTCACATATTCCTTAATCAATGTACTGAAGCATATGATATTTACAACATGGTGTGGAACACAGTTAAGGAAACTAGAGCGGAAGGATATTTTATTTCCATTCTTCAGCATCTTTTGCTGATTCGAAATGATTATTTTATAAGGTAAGAGGAAGCTATGTTCTAATGTTAAATTTCACTAATAAAATTCTATTAATTGTGAAATTCACTTGATGTTTGATTTGGGCAAGCTCATAATTTTCAGATTTTTATTTCTGTCTTAATACTGACTCATGGAATGTGGCATTTCTTCTGGGCATATATTTAGACAGGTGACAGTAAAATGATATTACAGTTATTTTGTAAGCTGCACAGATTCTTGTTACCAAGTTTTCATCTGAATAAAAAATGCGAACTAGCAACAAATTACTAATTTATCTTGTGATGGATAATGTTTTCTCATGAGTCTTTAGGTAGTAGGAATGGGGTTGATAAGTTTCTTTTTATAAGTTACATGAAAGGCAGTAAACATTGTTTTTATTAGTATTTAAGTAGCTAGAAAGTGCCTGGGTAATACAGTTGCACTTAATGTTGCTAATGTATCAGAAAAGCTAGACAAATAACATTCAAGTTCGATTATATCTCAGCCATCTTGAGTTTAACAAATTGTTTATTCCATCTGTACCTTATCTATCTGTAGCTGGGCAAGCATATTAACACCTACGTTCCTAGGTGGTTCTGAAGGTGACACATAGTAGCATGGATAAATCTCCTAGCCAAATATCTGGGCACCTGGTGTATGCTCAGTAAATGCTCTCTATATCTGCTTTCTACTTTGTTACTGTTTTATGAGGAAAGTGGAGATCCTTGAATATAAAACCATTTTTGGTGCCTTTAATTTAGCTTTGCTGAGATTCCATTCTCAAATACTTTGGGTAACATGTCGTTTCGTACTCTGCTTTCATGTGGAAGAATTTGCTAGAGATGTCTCATTTGGGCTGTGTCCCCTGGTTGATGTCAGAGGGTGTAATTCAGGCTTTTGATATATCTGACAAGTGAATAGAATAAGAGTCAAAGAAAAAAAAAAGTTTACGTTCTTTGGGATGAGAACAGATTGCCCATCTTATCTCCTCCTTTTGCAGCACAAACATACTAATATAAAATAAACACTAATACATTGACAAAAATATTAATGCAAATATGAATACATTAGTTAAAATCAAAATAGTACATTGATTAATATTTTTAAATATCAGAGGTACTTGCCAGTTATAAAACTGTATTTTTCCCCACATGTATTTAAATTTGAAGCTTCCATTTACTCTAAAGTAAACCTGTCCTTTTTTTTTTTTTTTTTTAAGAGAGACAGAGTGAGAGTGGGGGAGAGTCAGAGAGAGGGGGAGACAGAATCTGAAGCAAGCTTTAGGCTCTGAGCTGTCAGCACAGAGCCCAGTGTGGGGCTCAAACTCATGGACAGCAATATTGTGACCTGAGCCGAAGTCAGATGCTTAGCCACCCAGGCGCTCCAGCCCTGTCCTTTTCTTGATCCCTATATGGTTGGTCCTGTCAACCTCTGATTGCTTGATGCTGCTGGATTTTTCAAGAATTCAAGAATATTGTTTGCTTTCAAAGTTTTGAATGTGTCTTAATGTTGCCAGAGGGGGTTCTATATTACTTATGATCCCTTCATTTTTACCCTAATCCCTTAATCTGTGCTGCAGAAGTCCACGCGGTTGTGTCTACCTTTAAAATAGATTGAAAAGCACAACTCTCCTGGGGCATGCTCAGGCAATCCTGTCACTTCAGTGGAATTAAGAGTCTCAGAGAAATATTAAACTGTAGCCGCACCAAAGTGACGTTAGTTATTTTGGTCATTTTTCAAGTAGCACGTTTTTAACTTGATACTTATGTATGTTGCATTCTTCGTGGACTCTTTAAGCCCCAGGACCTTGGTCTTTGTTTCACGTATGGTTGCTGTGAAGGTGTCATTCTTCCTATGATTTCTGTAATCAAGACCATTCCATCTGTTTTTTTTTTTTTCCATGTTCCCAAATTCTCATAGGTGGTTATTGTTGTTATTTATTCTTACAGAGAATATATTTTTATTATAAGATTGTGGCAGATTATGATCATTTAGATAGTTTTTCATTCATTTAAAAATTATTTAGCTTTTTATTTAAATACAGTAGAACTGTTTTTGGTGTGCAGTTCTGTGAGTCTTGCTCTTTTGGTTTTAGCTTCATGGTTTTTTGTTGGTTGATTTTCACTGTCTCCGATGGACGTGGACTTTACCTTTTAAAAATCTTTGATTATCTGAACACCTTTTGTTGAATGAACATTCTTAATTCCTATTGATATAAATAAATGTTTTCAGATTTTTAGAAATTGCTTTGCTTTAGAATGCAAGATAGTCCCATTTAAAAGAATTAGCCGATAGGAAAATAAGAAAATTTTCTCACGTTCACATTTGGGACGAAAGGAAATTTTACTGAAATGGAACTCAGTTGGAGAATGTACATGCAAGGTAACCCCTGCCCCCAAGAAAAATGAAATGTGGAAAGAATATTGGAGTGTGGAGTGGGAGATCAAATTCATTTCTCTAACAAATACTTAATGGCTTACCATGTGCAAAATATTTGCCTAGTTGAATGTGCATGGGAGATAATTTCTGATATTTGATAAAAATACTAAAGAGAAAGTGAAGATGATTTTAAAATTCCTCCAACAAAAATGATATATCAGTGAAGTAATGACAACTTATGTTCATCCCTTAATTAGGTTATTTACATATTCCTCTGACATATTCACTAACTCACCAATATTGCTCATGGTGATTATTTTCTGGATGAACATTTCTAGAATCCAGAAGTACATTATTATTTTGCTAGTGTTGCCTTGAAAGAGATTTTGCAAGAAATTTCAGCTACTTTGTAAGTGAGCTTATCATTGGGAGCTGTGGAGGTGAGAAAACATTTACTGAAATAATGATTTATTTAAAAAGTCCACAAAGTAACCTATGTTATTAATTAATAACCTATGTTATCAAGTCCACAAATTAACCTATGTTGTTAATTTAAAACATGTTTATATTAAAACAACACTAGGATAACATTGAATAAGAGTAAAAAAGAAATAGAATGCTCCATCTTGATTTTCAAACGTGATTGATATTTTGTACCTGTGTGCAATTTATGTACCTTAATTGTACATGTGGTTGTTATGGCAAGATAGTAGGGAATGGGAGACTATATTTTTGGAAGCAGTGTAGAACATTGAGGAAAGCGTGGTAGTACCTTCTTGCTTTGACATATACCCAAGAACACTGTCTTAAACATTTTTAGTTGATGACAGTCGATGACCATCTTTTGTCTTTGCTAATGTTCAGTTATTTTGGATTTTATTCTGCATAATGGGTCATTTATGAGGTGTGAGGTAAGTAGATTCAGGGCAGTAGAGAAGAAGCTCTAGTGAATAGAAGCGCCGTCACTTACATGGTGAGAAAGATTTGGAGAGGAAATGTGTGCAAAAAGTCACTGAGGGAACAAAGAAGTTGTAGGGGTGGCTGGGGATGAAGGACTGTCCTCATTGAGATAGCACCCACCCTTTCTGTCATTTTAGTTTGGTTTTGTTAATAAAATCTAGATATTTTAAATTGATTGGCTTCAGTTTTGTTTTTAAAATTTTTTTTTTATGTTTTATTTATTTTTGAGAGAGAGAGAGAGGCAGTGTGATCAGGGGAGGAGCAGAGAGAGAGAGGGAGACATCAAATCCGAAGCAGGCTCCAGGCCCTGAGCTGTCAGCACAGAGCCCGAACTGGGGCTTGAACTCACAAACCGTGAGATCATGATCTGAGCCCAAGTCAGATGCTTAACTGACTGAGCCACCCAGGCTTCCCTTGTTGGCTTAAGTTTTAAGGGAGGTTCTTTTGCTTATGACGAACATAGGTGGACTAAAACCTGTAGTGACAACGTGATCCCTATTTGGGCATTTATTTAAACTCTAATTTTTGAAAAAAATTGTGTTTGGAGTTGTGTTTTGAGCACAAAATACTCATTTGGTACTCTATATATTTTACAGTATCTGTTTTTCATTGGACTCCGCAAACATTCTTAAAGTAGTAAACTGTATAGTTTTAAGACCCAGATAATTTTTTTGAAAAAAATGGATATATTTTGGCTTGTATTAATACAATGAATTAATGGTAGATATTTCAGTATGGTAGAGTGGTAAGTTGATCTCTGTTGAGGTTTGCTTTTAAGCACCTATCACTTCATCTCAGTGCTTTCTTTTTTTTTTATTGCTTACGAATTAAGTCAAGGTTCTGACTTTTGTAAGCAAATCCTCATTAAAACACTGTATGTGCTAAAAGAGTGTAAAAACTTAATGTCTTAATGTCACTAGAAGAAGGAAAGCGAGCACTATTGTATTTACCCTCCCTCCCATGTTAAATCTGTCATGCCAGTTGTTGACACTATACAAAGATAAATTATTGAACTTGAAATCAAGCTTACCAAAATACTTGGTTTTGATGTAAAGTTATTCTTATAAATGGAGTGTGCATTTATTCTTTTTCTTGGTTTTAGGCAACAATACTTCAAATTAATTGATGAATGTGTATCTCAGATTGTATTGCATAGAGATGGGATGGATCCAGACTTCTCATATCGAAAGAGACTAGATTTAGATTTAAGTCAGTTTGTCGGTGAGTATTTCTCTAATATTTAAATGGAAACCTTTTATCGTCCCTTGCCCCACAGGTTAACTGCAGTGTCAGTTCTCCTAGTGTGACCTGTAGAGTCCTTAGGGCCCTTGATACCCTTTCAGGGGATCCTAAGAGTCAAAACTGCTTTCCTAACAGCACTAAGACATGATTTGCCTTTTCCGTTGTGTTGTTGTTTGTGCTGGTGATGCAAGGATGGTGAGTACAACTGGTGGCACTTAGTTAGGAATCACGGCGGTGACCCCAAACCATGTTAGTAGTCCTTGAATTCCTCACAGTAAAGAAAACAGTAAAAACTGCCTTTTTTTTTTTTTTACCTGAGTGTCCTTGATAAAGAACTGAAAGACATTAATTTTATTAAAAATCTCCCCTTGAGTACAAATCATTTCAACATTCCCTGTGACAAAGCGAATTGTACACGTCAAGCACACGTCTGCATACTGAAGTACAGTGAGCAAATAGCTGCGTATGTGCTTGTATTGCGAGCTGAATGGGTTGATTTTTTTTTTTACAAGGAATGATTGTCATAAAAATTGTGGCCACTCATGCTTGACTGTCTGGCACACACTTTCTTAAAAAGGAAATAAAGGGGCGCCTGGGTGGCGCAGTCGGTTAAGCGTCCGACTTCAGCCAGGTCACGATCTCGCGGTCCGTGAGTTCGAGCCCCGCGTCGGGCTCTGGGCTGATGAAACAGCCTGGAGCCTGTTTCCGATTCTGTGTCTCCCTCTCTCTCTGCCCCTCCCCCGTTCATGCTCTGTCTCTCTCTGTCCCCAAAAAATAAATAAACGTTGAAAAAAAAAATTAAAAAAAAAAAAAAAGGAAATAAAGTAATTCTATAATGTCAAGGAAAATGACTGATAGAATTCGTTACCAATGATAAAATTCAAGCTCTCAGGGAAAAAAGTTGAGTTTTGGAAAACTTGGATCTGCTACTGTTAGCTTGACAGCTTTCCAGTACGCGAATTTTTTTTCTGGTGAGGTCAATGATGATAATAACCCATAGGATTATTTTGATATTGTATAATGAGATGTGCCAACATTTGGAGAATCTACGTGACTCCGCAAACCACTCTTTTCCAAATTCCCGTGCCTGATTACACATTCTGCATGGGTGAAGAATTCTTGGATTTTGAAGTAACAGAGTACAAAACAGTCACCGATAGGTGATTCCACACAGCAAGTAATGTGCAAGGAGTTACCATATGTCAAATTTTGGTGTAACATGAAAAAAGAATAGCCATTTTTTGTGTGAGGTTGAGGTTGTTTTTCTTCATATATTAGAGTTCATAAAGAAGTACGGAGTGTATAGAATGAGAAAAGAACTAGATTATATTAGTGGCACTGATAAAATGCTCATTTTTCCCCACTGGAGGGAAGTAATTAGAAGTTCCTGGTAGTGGGAGGGACAGATATGAGGAAAAATAAAGCAAACTAAAATGTGGGATGATTTTGAATAGGACCTGAAAAGGAAGTTTATTCTACCTGGCCATTAGGAATGTTTTTTCTTGAGTAGATGAGAGGTTTGTTTAAGCATTGAACTCTTGAGAAGGAAATAGACTTTTTGACTACTGCTTGGCTATATAAGTGAAACATATTTACGTAGTTACAATAAGTACATTGTATATGTTGATTTTAAATGTTTATAGAAAACTTAGACACACTGCAGAGGACTTATAGTAATAGGTGAGTGAGGATCTGGGGCCAAACTGTAGGAGAGAGAGATGTTGGCAAGTAAATAAAGATAACTTTATATATTATAGTGGAAATCAGTAGATACTGTTTATGTAACAGTGATCGGAGGTTTAAGTATTTATTTAGTGCTACAGAGCCAGGCAATTTAGAAAGCAAAATTATTAAAATAAATGGGATTAGACAGGAAACACCATTTTCATCTTCTATAATAGGAAGCTATCTATAATGTATTAAATAGATGAATCAAGAAATAATGGTGTACACATCTTATTTAGAGTTAAGAAACTAACTGCCAGAATAATCTAATGTAGAAAGAACCATAAGAGGTCTCATTTAGGAAGTGGGATTGGGTTTTTAATGTAGTGATTTGGTTGTTACTTTTCATTGTAAGCCCTTCTGTAATATGTTTTTTAAAACCATGTTTATTGCTTTTATTAAAGAAAGAAGGGAGGGGTACCTGGGTGGCTCAGTCCGTTGGGTGTCTGACTTCGGCTCAGGTTATGATCTCACAGTTCGTGAGTTTGAGCCCCGCGTCGGGCTCTGTGCTGACAGATCAGAGCCTGGGGCCTGTTTTGGATTCTGTGTCTCCCTCTCTCTGCCCCTCCCCTGCTCACGCTCTGTCTCTGTCTCTTTCAAAAATAAATAAACATTAAAAATTTTTTTTTTTTTTTTTAAATAAAGGATCAACTACAGCATGGGGAATCTATATGAATCACTTCTCCTGCGTAGTGTCTTATCATGTGGATCTATATCGTAGCTTATTTAATCAGTCTGTTACTGATGGACCTTTATTTCCAGATATTGGCTAACAACATTTTAATGAACATTCTTGCTTAAAGGCAAAGTCCTAACAATGCAATTGCTGGGTGAAAGAAAATACATATTTTAAATTTTAATGTATATTTTCCTAGTTACTCACCAGCAAAGTTCATGAATTATACTTCCATGGCGTAGACAAGTCATTTTCTCTGTGCCATCTCTGACACTTGGCATTATGGATCATTTAATCATTGCTGTGTTTCATTAAATAAAATTTATATTTTTGTATTAGGGAAATGAACTACCTGTTCATACATGTTAGCAATTATTAATTTTGTTTTTGCTAATTTTCTGTTCATTATTGTTGTGTTGGTTATGATCTTCTCTTCTTCCTTCAAAATACTTACGTGTTGATGAAAGACACTTTTTGAGTCTTGTATGTTACATTTGTCCAATAATTTGAAATTGTAATCGTGTTTGCATTTATACTTTGTGGCCTTGGTATCATGCTTGGAAAATCCTTTTCCATTCAGTATTAGCTTTCTTTGTTTTGCTTATTTCATTACTGACACTATTTCTAATTCTTTTCTTTTTCTAACCTTTTCAAGTCATAATGATTTTAACAAGTACTGGAATTAAGGAAAAAATGTCATTGCCATTTTAGATGCTTGCGTAGATCAAGCGAAGCTAGAAGAGTTTGAAGAGAAAGCATCAGAACTTTACAAGAAAGTAAGTAATTCTGATTAAGTTTGCAAGACTATGTGAAGAACCACCTCGCATCATCAGGCATGCTTCTCCTTCAGGGATTTTGCTTGTTGTTTCCACTCTCTTCTTTACCTCCTTGAGCTATTTGCATAAATGCCATCCTTAAGGAGGACTTCCTAGACCATTATATTTAAACATTTTAACTCTCCACTCCCAGACCTGACCCTGTCTGTGATTTGTTTTCCTCTGTTTTATTTGTTATCTGACATGCGACATGGTGTATGTATTTACCTGTGTATCTATGGATGTGTTGTCTATTTCTCCCTCTAGCATAACCTTTATGAAGGATATTTCTTTGTTGTTGTTTGAAGGATTTTGTTTATTCAGTGTCCCTGCGCCTAGAACAATTCCTGCCCTCAGAACATTAAAAAAAAAAAAGGGGGGGGGCGGTTAATGAATAAGTGATTGAAGAAAATTTGTAGAGTCAAAATTTTAAGATTGGAGTATTTCTCAAGAAATCCTATATCGAAAAGTTTTATTAACTTTTCTGTTTTGGTTCATGTTGCTTCATTAGGTCTAGGTGAACATAGAAAACTGTCATTTTTATAGGTCAGAAGTATCTGATATTGCCAGTTGGGTTGCTTCGGCCCAGTAGTATTGCTGACCATCCAGCCGTTCCCCACTGTTCTCGAAGGTGGTGTTCTGTGCTTTCATCTCTGCTTGGCATGTATCTATTCGACTCTTTTTCTGTTTAGAAAAAAAAAAAAAAAATGTTGCTTTTGTGGGATTCTTCACATGTTAAGCAGTCACTTTGATTTAAATTCATGTGGCTGGTTTCTCACATTGGAGGAATAAATGATAATTACTATCCCCAGCCCCTGACGAACATACACTAAATAGACTTTTACTGTGTGTCAGTTACCATGCCTAAGAGGCTATGTTTTTGAACTCTCTGGATCTTGGTGAATATTGAACGAATCTTACACTTCTGTAACAGTTTAAGATAATACAACTTGCAAATGGTAGACAGTCTTTTATAAGTTAGTGGTAATTTATGACAAACTTTGTAAATGCCCCATGTAAGAAGTCCTGCATGTCCCCCCACACATAGAGGTTATTAACCCCTGGGCCTCTGGCTGCAGGCTAGAATTCCAGCTTAAGCATATGATACTGTCTTTGCCCTGCAGGAACTTGAGAAACAAATGAACACATCATTGAAGTGTCATATGTGCTACAGCTGATAGGTGATCATGTTGTAGGGTGATCCCTTATCCCCTGACTTGGTATTCTAAGCCTTCTACTTGGTATTCTATTTTAACTCTTCCTGAGAAAGTAGTAGTAAACTTTCAGGTACTTGCTTTGGATGCATCCCAGGTAATATAAATTTGCTTCTATAATCATTTTTAGGTATATGATGTATATGAGTGTTGTTAAATGTGATACCTTTCTCAACATATTATTTTAAAATTTAAAGTTTAAGTGTAAGTAGAAGAAAGACCTTGTTCAAGGTTACTTGTCTCCTTTTAGTCAGAAGTTATATGTCTTAGGTATATTTAAAAAATATTGTTTGCTCCATAAAAGATTCCTATTGCCATACCATTTTGTATATATCAGCAAGAACTTCTTTCTGATAGCTTTATAAGGACACATGTAAATACTTTGCTTTAGGCAGGAAGCTATCATAGTTGCTAGACACATTCTTTATTTTGGTGCATAAATTTGAAAAATGAAGACCAGAAATGTCAGAAAGTACATAGAGAATATTGAATTATCAACCTTCTTGTACAGATGCACTAATACATTTACCCTAGGGAATGAAATTAAGCAGAGCCTCAGCCTTAACTGTGTTTCTTGACATTTTTGCGTGTAATTTTGTAAGCGTAATATTGCTCTAGAAACTCTTTTTGGAGAAGAAGGCTATCATATCTGTTTTTATAAAGTATGTCTTTAATGGAGATTCATTTTATCCCCAAGGCTACTGTGATTTGACTGTAGATATTATAAAAATGCTAAAGCAAAGTTTATATTTTGTCTCATCCTTTTATAGGGGAGGGTATAGAAATTTATCTCTTTGTTAAGTACAGATACTTTAAGTATGGCCAAGTTAATTTAATAAATTCTCTTAGAGTATACTAATTATGACTCTGATTATTTTGGTGGTTTTACCTTTGTTCCCATAAATCATCCTTTTTCCTCCTGAATCTCATTCTAAGCCCTACTAGTTAGGGTAATATACCTACCGATAATGTGAAAAAGACTTCATTTTTACTCTCATAAGAATTTAATTTTTTATTTCTTGCTAAGCAGAAGTAAACACTGAGCAGTCATAAAAGGGAGAATAGAGAACATGACCTCTCAAAGATTTTTCATGCCGGGAGATTGTGGAACTTTAATATATGATATTGACATATTTATTCACAACATATAAAGGAAGACTTGACAGGAATTGGCTCCATTTCTTCATTTGACAAATATTTACTGAGTTTAGTTATAAATGTAAGGCTTTGGAAAGGTGATGAATAAAGTGGATTCTCAATGTGAATAACCTTCCAGGCTGGTGGGTGTTACTGTGGTGTGTGAATAGTGCACTTTGATATTTTTATATTACAGTGTTATGACTGCTACAGTAGGAATACCCTATGCAGAATGGGAGCCTTCTGCAAGGATTCCTCATCTAGACTTGAGTGGCCAGGAAAGGCTGACCCAAGGAAGTCATAGCTAATGTGAGGCGACAAAGTGAGATAGCCAAGAAGGAGGGAGACAGAAATTTATTGTGAATTTCAACATAGCCATCTCAAGGTTAATATTTCTGAAACCAAATTTATTTTTCTTTTACCTAAAAAAATGCCTTTCCTCCTCCATGAATTTTATATCCCTATTTCCCCCCTAAAATAATAATAGTTTCCAGCTTGCAAAGCAATAGAACACCATCATCATCTTAGAGATATACTCCCCTCACTGATTTCCTTCATTTAGTTGTACACTAATTTTTTAGATTCTGTTTAAAAAAAAAAAAAAAGTCCCTTCATTTTTTTTTTTTCCTGTTTTCTGTTTCCCTGTCTTCCCCTTCATTCAGGCAGGCCTTAAATTCTTGGTTGGGTAACTATGGCAGCTCCTCAACCTATTCACATGCCTCTGGTGTTTTCTTTCAGTCCACCTTCCACACTGCTGCAGGCTGGGTTTGCCAAAGTGCAAATTTGGTCATGTTAATTTCTTATTATAAATACTCTTAAAAGCTCTCCATGGTTTACAGGAAAAAAGAGAAACTTTTTGACTTTAAAATTCCTTAAAATTTTTTTTTTCCGTTTATTTATTTTGAGAGAGACAAAGAGAGTGAGCAGGGGAGAGGCAGAGAGGGAGGGAGAGAGAGAATCCCAAGCAGGCCCTGTGCTCTTGGCGTGGAGCCAGATGTGGGTTTGAACCCACGAACTGCAAGATCATGACCTGAGCCGAAACCAAGAGTTGGACGCTTAAATGACTGAGCCATGCGGGTGTCCCCAAATTTACTGTAAAATTCCTTTAAACAGTTTAATTCCTGTCTACATCTGTAACTTCATCTCTTGCAATTTGTTTTCTTACCTCCTTTTATGGCCCTTGCGTGTTGTTGTTTTCATTTGTGTACTGCACTAAACCTTCTATTTGAAATGCCAGCTGCACTTATCAGCTAACTACTCAAATTCTTCAAACCTGGGGCCAAGTTATCACTTCTCCAGTAATCACTCCCATGCCTCCAGTGTATTTCTCCATTGCTGGTAATTTTCATACGTTCGCATTGTTACTTTCCTTTTACTTTGCCACCAGACACTATACTTACTAAAAGTGATGACCATATTGTATTCAACTCTGTATCTCTAACACCTGCTACTTTGAGGAACACATCAGATGCATGATATTCCTTACAGTATAACGAGAAATAGGTAGGTAGTTTGGGGCCAACTCCCAGGAGGTTCTTAGATATTAGGTTAATGACGTAGCCACTGTAAGTTGAAAAGCAAAAGAGTCATGTTTTTTGAGCCATCCTTTAGAAAGAACAGCGATACTCAAAAAACGTTTGTAGAGGGGAAAGGTAATACTGGTTTTAAAAATACTGTTTTTGTTTGTTGCCTTGAAGAATGTTCATTGGGCAGTTGAAAATATGTTTATGGACTGATTAGTAGTCTGGAATTCAGACGAGAAGCTGAGCTGGTGATGGGGATTTGGAAGCCATCAGTGTATGAATGGGGACTAAAACGTGTGGGTGTGGAAGATACCATTCTACCAGGCATATGAAGTGAGACCATCAGAGGGGCAAAGGAAGAGTCCTAGGACAGGACAATAGTAGACGGTTGGACTGAGGAATAGGAACCTATAAAAGAATTGGTAGGAACAGCCAAGGAGTAAGCAGGAGGACCAGAAGAGTGTGTTGTAATACAACACACTGGGGAAGAAAGAATGAATACAGAGGCATATTCGTGAGTATTTAATGCTGTAGGGCAGTCCCGTTCGATACGGAATGATGACAGTGTTTGATGATCTGTGTTCAGCATGCTAGCCTTCAGCCTGTGCCTGTTGTGCCCTTGTGACTGAGGAACTGAAGTTTTAACTTTGATATTAGCTAACTTAAATTTACATTCTAGCAGCCACGTTGGCTAGAGGCTACCCCATTGAATAGTACAGGTATTAGATCAAGTAAGAGGAGGCCCGGAGAAGTCCGGGGGCTTTGGAATTTGGCAAGCCATAGTTTTTAGAATGAAAGATGGTGGCTAAGTTGGATAATGAAGTGAATGAAGTTCAACAGGCCAGAAAAGGGAGTATGATCCAAGCACACTTTTTGAAGGAGTGCACTTTGAAGCAAGAATAAGATTAGAGTTAGGTGACGCAGGGTAAGGACAAAAAGAGGGTCAAGGAAGATTAGCGTCTTTTAAATTCTTAAATGGTAGGAGGTGTTTGGAGGAGCTGCAGTAATAGGAGTGGTAATGTTGGTGTGGTATGGGTGAAGTGAGGGATATTTGGTTTTTTTACCCGGTAGTTTCTGTTCTCTTTATAAAAGCGCAAAGTTTAGAGTGTGAGGATTGAATGTGAGATTTATTTAACCTGTAAATGGGAATCACAACAATGTTTATTATTTCAGAGTTTTTGCATGTGTGAATGCAATGATGAGATTGCATTCATGAAATGCAAAAATGCTGACACTAAATCATGGGGGAGGCAACCCTCGGGGGGGGGGGGGGGGGGTTGGCATATGAGAAATCTCTGAAACTTTGACTCATTTTGCTGTAAGCCTAAAACAGTTCTAAAAAATAAAATCTATCTTAAGAAAATACCTGTAAAACATTATCTGAATGTAATTTGTAGGAGGGGGCTGTGGTTTTATCTAAACCCAGGCTTGGAAGACAAGGTCTGGCTTTTAATCTCACTTTTTTAATTTACTGTCTGTACGACAAGGGATTGGATTGCCACCTTTTTGAGTTAAGGACAAAATAAGATTCATAAATAAGTGTTCTTTGTCATCGGTTGTTTTTTACATTCTTGCACTTTCCCTAATTGAGGTCTGACCGTGCTTTAAAGTCTAGAGGCTACATCTGTGAGGTAGTGTTTTTTTTTTATGATTTTTTTTCTTCATTTTTTAAAAAGAAATAAATGTTCTCCAGTATGAGACAATCCCCTATTGCAATTCACCTCTGATAGAGGTTTTCAGTCATGATGATGGCAGGGTGAAGCTATTTGAAGGCAGGGTGGGAATTTGTGATAAGTGGCTGTATAAATTAGAAAACTCATTGGATTCACCAAATTTTACTGTTTGCTTTCCTCCCACAAGGTATTGCACCAGGGTTTTTGAAAGATTAATTTATCATTAATCTCCCAAAGATTAATCTCCAAAAGATTAATGATAAATAACAGACTTTATTCTCTTAAATTGCTGTTGAAGATTAGAGCCTGCATCAGGGCCCTTAACTCTCATGACGACGTGAGAAGTGATGCATTTACGAAATGGAGTTATATAGTAATAACAAATATTAAAATGGAATTCTTTTTAATTCCTATCATAAGGTTCAAGTGCAAGTTTTTGCAAATAGGGGTCTGGGAACTCGCTACAATGCTTTGCTCTCTATTATTTTACACAAAGTTGCAATGATATTTAGGGACTTTTAAGAAAAATGTCAGTGTGGCAGATACCTCCGGGCGAGTTTGCTCTCCTGAGAGAAGGTCACAGACTCCATCCCTGGCTTTGTCTGCTCCCTTGCAAATTGAATGATTTTGGTGGGACCCAGAGAGGGACCTAGGGACAGGCTTTGGGTGACTTAGCAAAATCTACCACTTTTTTCATAAAAAGTTTGTGTTCTACTGACGGGTCTTTAGATCATTAGAACCGTATTTCTTTATGAAGAATAGCGCTTTTCACTGCCATCTTTCTGT